ACAATATTTTCGATATGACAAAGTTGGTAACTGACAGACAACAATAAATAACAATTAAATAGACAGCCATTATATCACAGTTTGTGCAACATTTCCACACTTTGGAAAAATCCTGTCACCCTTCGACACCGTTCATCGCTGTTAAAGTTACCTTCCCATATCGGGCATATCCCGAAGTTGTCCCGTATATCTTTGTATCGTGGACAGTTACAAAGTATGTGCTCTAGTATTAAATTAACCTCACAGTTCGCACATAGGGGTCTAGGTTTACCTTCCAGCAAGGCGCTATGGGTTAATGCGGTGTGCCCAAGTCTAATTCGAAACATCTTCACGAATACAAACCGACCCTCGCCAAGAAGAAATAGCGGCCCCAAATCGGGTTTGACCCTTTTCAAAAATGAATCGGACCTCGCCCATAGGTCGCCCCAACGCTCATACACCCGAGCCCTGACGAGTGTACGTCGGGTTACTGTTGTCTCATTTGCAACATCAAGGTCATTTAGTTGTAGATACGTTAGATCCTCTCTAGCCCTTTGGCTCAGCGTTCTGCACCTATTCAGCCGTCGACGCGGAACTGCGCCTGCCATCGATACGTGATTCGGATGTTGTTCATCCGAAATTACTTTAAGATAATAGTTTACAGCAGCCTGTTTACGACGGAGGGCTAGAGAAAGGATGTTCGCCTCGACGTGAAGCGCAGCGACCGGACTCGTTGGAAAAGCTCCGAGGGAATACCGTATGGCGAGGTTTTGGATTTTATCGAGATTCCCAAGCATCGCACTGTTGTCACATGTCAGATAAGCACAGCACCCATAAACAATTCTCGATAAAATTAAGGCCTTGTAGACGTCGAGTAACGTCTTTGGATGAGCTCCCCACTTATGGTGGGCCAGGACCCTAATGACATTTAATGATTTCCTACACTTTGTGACAACATTCTGTAGATGCTTGGACCACCGCAGCTCCCCGTCAAAGGTAAGTCCCAAAAATTTCATATCTTGGGACACAGCTATTATACGGTCTTTCATAAATAGAACGGGGTCATAGTGTGGTCTTCGGAGTCGACAAAAATGAACCACCTTCGTCTTTTCCTCAGACAAAACGTACCCCACTGCATCCGCATTATCAGAAATTTTATTGATAGCCATTTGTAGTATACGCACAGCGGAACCAACGGTTTTTCCGGCGCAATGAATCATTAAGTCATCGACGTATAGGGATCTATCGACTGTGTCGGCAACACCCAGGGCTATTCCGTTTATGGCAATTGCAAACAGTGAACAGCTTAAAGTCGAGCCCTGCGGGACCCCGTTTTCTAATACGCGCTCGTTTGAATACGCCTCTCCAATTCTAACAATAAACTTTCTGTCTCTTAAAAAAGATCTAATAAATTTGGGCATGTTTCCGCGTAAATTGTATTCAAACATTTTTTAAGTATACCATACCGCCATGTCATGTCATATGCGCTCTTGATATCAAAGAAGACCCCAATCAAATGCTCGCCACCATCAAACGACTTTAGGATGTTATCAGTTAATTTAACCATTTGATCGACCGTCGACCGACCTCTCCGAAAACCGGCCTGATAGGGGACGATGATCTCGTTTTCTTCCAGAAAGACCCGCAATCTCCCATCAACAATTTTTTCCAAGAGTTTGCCTTTGGACGGTAGTGCTGCGACAACAACGGATCTTTCCCCGTTTTAAGTATGGGAACGACTATGGCTCGTTTCACTCATCAGGGTAGATACTATTTTCCCAACAAAAATTAAAGAAATCTAAAATCACTTGTTTCATCGGGTTGCTACAATGACGAAGCATCTGATTGTGGATACTATCGTGACCGGGAGCGCAGGATTTCGTGTTTTTAAGTGCAGATTCTAATTCATCCATACTATTATTCTTAGTTTCCTTATGTACGTATCTTTTGTATTCAGCTATACAGTGTGTCCCAGATCGCGTGGGATTGCATGGATAACTTTCTTGTTATTAAAGATACAGAAGTGGTTAAATGGACAATGTTTTGCAGGCTTATTTAAACTTAATTCAAAATGTCGAATAGGTTCGACGTAAATTAAAAAAACTAAAATTGGTCATTTCCTTGAATGTCTTATATCATCGAAAGTATTTCGTTGGGTATCCATTTTCTCTTTATACAACTCGAAATGGGGTTCAATGATAATCCACGTTTAAGAACTCAAAACCTTCCCCATAAAATTCAATTTATTCAAAAAATTTGATGTTGAAAAATAAGTCTAAGGCGACATGTTTCGGTTAACAAGCCATCATCAGGCCTTAAAAGTTCGGCTATCAAATTTGTTAAAGCCGAACTTTTAGGGCCTAATGATGGCTTGTTATCCGAAACATGTCGCCTTAGCCTTATTGTTCAATTTTTTGAATAAATTGAATTTTATGGGGAAGGTTTTGAGTTCTTAAACGTGGATCATCGAAAGTATACCTAAGAGATATAAAAAAAAAGTTTTATATAAAAGTTACTGTCTTTGATACGCTTAATTTAAAATTGATGTCAACAAAATTCAAGATGGCTACTTTTGAGGAACATTTACCAACTTTCTAAAGTTAAATAGGCGCCATATTGGATTACTTGATAGATTTTTTAATTCTGTCTTCAACGAGCCATCATACCATAAGATTGAAAATAAGATACCAGTTATATCAACGCTTTTCATATTTTAATCAAAGAGTCTGTGATGAATTAAAAAAAACAAAACAAAATTTATTCGAAGCAACAAAACAATGAAAATAATTACATCAGATGTTTAAAATACTGGCCATTATTAGTGAAACACACACTACTTCAAGACAGTTTACTTTAGGCAACCTGTTGCCATTGATGCAATAACACGCCTTTAGTTAGTTATTTCACTCAGGAGAGAGGACAACTAGCTTGTTTTTGGTTTTTGTGTTTAATGATTTAAATGTTTTATCTTTGGAGGTATCCTCAGGATAGGCTACTGGGATACAGAAATTAAAAAAAAATCATTTACATTAATGATAAAAACTAGAGGCCTCAAAAGGTAATGTATAAAGTAGGTTGTGCCGATAGTAGGCTAGGCTAAAGTTGCATGACAACACTATTTGTCAAATATTGTTGGTTGTTAACAGGCTTACTATTTACGAAATAATATTGCAAGTAGAAAAAATAAAACAGGTGGAATATTTGTATGAAAAAGGGTTTCGAAACGTTAAAAAAATTAGTGCAATTGACTGAACTCTGTTTGTATATGAGACAATATAGCGTAAAGCAACGAAGGATAGATTTTTGTCAAAGTTTTCGAGAAACTATTTCTAATAGTCTTTATATCTGAAAAAGTTCTTTCCAAATTCGTGCAAATCGCCTATCAAGAGAACCTGTTACCGTTAGAATGTCCAAACTTCCCATCAAAATGGTGATGGTTTGGGGAGAAATATCTCAGCGTGCTGCTACACCCCTCTGTATAATTGATGGCACCGTTAATAGTGAAAAATATTGTGGCATTCTAAACGATTTTCTTGTTAAAACTGAGCATGCCGGCGATCCAAAGAGGGGGGGGGGGCGTTTTCAGCAGGATAATGCAAGATGCCATACTTTGGCCTATCTTGGACGCAGAAACACCAAATGACAACAATTCCATGACCAGCAACTTCACCAGATCTTAGTCCCAGTGAAAAAATATAGGGACAAATGAACATTGAATTTGAACGAGAAGCGCCACGAAATAATGAAGACTTGATTCGGTCCGTTTTAGATTTTGGACCACCATCACCGAACATTATGGTGGTGACCTAGTTTCAGGTGTACGTTGACGTTTAGTTAAGTATTTTCATATAAGTAAATAAGATTAATTATTTGTTGCAAAATTCAAGTATTAATCGCGTTTTGAGATATATGTATTAAAATTGTGTTATTTTACATCTCAATAAATGATATTATTAGAAATATATACTAAATAGTTACAATTGAACTTTACTTTTTCCAGATACTTTCTAGACGGACTTTTTCGGAACCGTACTGAGAAAAGATTAACGTATGGTCATTATGTTAATAATTATTAAACCTCTTGTCACAGCGAACATTGGTACACTTCTAATAGCGGATTTTAGCCCTTTTGAGCTAGGTAATGGACATTAAATCTTGATAATAAACGTGCAGAGCAAATCGTGGGTTTGTGGGAAATCGCTGTTGCTAAACCTATATTTATAACGTATAATCAATGTACTTGTGTGACATAGTGATCAAAAGCTTTTATCATATTTTCGTGAAAAAAATAGGCTGAAACAACACCTCTCGTTGCGATGTAATTGTACTATCGGCGGTGATTTTACTGCATAACACCACAATTAATAAATTATAATTTTTATCTGCTCCATACGTTATTATTGCCAACTAATTCGAAAAGTTATAATTCACTTCGATATAATACACTGAAGGTAGGTAGTTAAAAAGTGTTGTAAGGCATGGTGTACATATTTTCAAGAATTGTATTTCGTACCTCGATAAGCCTCACTTGCACAGTTCTAAAATTGGCGTTCCCATGGTGATAGTTACTGTTATTTAGCAAGGCACTTACTAAATACAACCTCATTAAGACGTTTATCTAGTAGCATTATTGCTTTTCTGGTGCATATTCTTGCTGTTACAATGTTGTCGCGACAATATACTCGCAGAAGATATTCTAAATGGACAAAGACTTTTGTTATCTCTCATGCGGTAAATTCAACTTAATTGTTAGCTTTTTTATGTTAACTTCAAAATTGCACGTGGCTTACGGTTGAAGTTATGTACTGATTAAGGACAGAAATTACGCAATCCCATTACATGAGGTAGGCGTTTTTAATTAAGCCCTCAATAAACCTCAAAATAAAGTTAATTGTGTATGCGAGGAGTCATTCCCAACTATTCACCGGATAATCAAATGCTATACCTGGCTTTCAAATAATTTCGGTTTCATCTATAATTAAATTTCGGTCGTTACACAACCATTTTTAGAAAGGCTTCGATGTAACCTATATTTTTATGTATCTACATGAACTTTATACATGCTTGGAAATACACACTTCTAACAACACCAGCTTTAGTTCTAATAATACTGTATTACATCTGAATAATCTAATATACTAATTAATAAGTTACTTATTCTACGTGAAGAAATCCAAAAATACTGAGTTACTTGTTAACACAGTTATAGTAAATTAAAATGAGTATTATAGGAGTTTGCACTTTTTGGCTTTAGGATTTGTACCTCTGGTATAATTTTCTTGCAAGCATTTCCGCACTCCATGTCAACGCCACGAACATCATCACCACACTTTGCACATGTAAGCAAATCACAAAGCTTTTTGTGTAGTCCCTAACCCAGCCTAGAAAGTAATCTGTCAGAGAGTCCGAGATTTTTCGGGGTTCGCTCACCGAAAAACTGGCCGACACCTAAAACCAGCAACCCTTTAGCCACCATGTTGAGTCCAATTGCGGAGGGTATTTTAGACTCGTCCTTGCAGTACTCGGTGATAGCTAAATTTTGGTTGACAACGGCTGCCGCGCGAATATAACCGCACAAAAGTGACAGTAATATAATTATGGAGAACCGATGCTGCTCTGCTAAAACTAAACGGACTGTAGGTAAGTAAAACCGGTTTAACAAGATCGCAATTACCAGAGCGACAAACGGCCCAACAAACCGTGCCTAAAAGGAATGTCATACGGTTTGAGATTCGAAAATGTTTTGTAATCATTGGTATTGTCACGCGAGCCACTATATCGGCTCCGGACAATAATGACATGCACAAGGCGGTGTCTCCACGACTTAACCCGACGCTATTTTGCAAAAAGAACGGATATATCATATTGAACGCCACGGTACAAGTATAAACGAGCGCCAGTCCGTTTATGAGGTGAAGAAAAACCCAATCCTTTAAAAGCTCGAAGTTGAAAAACTCGATTACTTTGCGCAATAAGGTTTTTCCTAAACAGAAGTGTAAGCTTGATTTAGACATCCCGGGAAGCTTTACCTTTATCCTCATTTGAAGATGTACCCGGTTCTTCTACCACCCCGTATCTCGTCGTAGTTTGTGGAATTTGTATATGCTTGACTAGTAGTGGTTGTTTTTCTTCGTCGATTGTGTTGGTTTCGATCATATGCCATTTAACCGGCTGAAATGGTGCCTTTAATTTATGCCTAATTCTAAGAGATCTTACGTGGAAAAGTAGTGCTCCTGGTAATCCGTTGAGGCAAAGTGCGCCTAGTATAAGAGTGGTGCCTCGGTAACCATATTCGTCCAGCAAAAACCGAACTACTTGTGGCATTATCATTTGCCCTACACCCGTTCCGGCCATAGATAAGCCGACGGCTTGACTTTTTCTTGACGTAAAGTACTCATTGACAGCTACAAAAGTCGCGGGCATTATTAATCCCAACCCTAGTCCTAGAATAATTTGTACTTTATTGCTCGATCTTTGTAGACAGTAATTCCTCGTAAGTACCCGTAAAAACACTATAACTTATTATGAGTTCAATTAGGTTCGTTGCAACACTTGACAGTACCATTCCTGATGCAGTTAAGAATATTCCTAACAAAGTTACCTTTCGCGCCGAGTAGTGCTTTAAAATAGGACCGGTGACCAATCCAGAAAAATTTGTGATCATACTGTTTATGTTAATGACAAGCGCCGCACCGCCAGTTCCACATCCCATTTCAGTTAGTTTCTCACCGAAGATCAGTCCAAATTGGGAAAATATCGACTGATTAGTCATCTAAAAGCACACACTGTTTATTGCCATCCCATTAAATATTCGTTATGAATATATAAATCTTTATGGTATCAATAAAGCAATACTAATATGAAAGGAATTACGTTTGTTATAGCGGCACCAAGTACCACCATCCATCCCCAGCCACCATTCGGTGTCATTTTACTCTTCATCGGTGCACTAAAACACATTCACTACATTGGAGTGTAAAAATAAAATGCTATTCGAGAACGCGTACTTTATTCTCAATTTGATAACGCCTCGGACGTATTCCTAGTACGAGCGTCATAGATAAGTCGAACGATATCGATACTTAAAAATGAGCGAAGATACTTAAACTCACCGACCACTTAACGTGATTTAAAAATTGGAAATGAACATTAGGCAACAATAGTTTGGTGCGTAAAAACGGTGCTATGTGCTACGGAGTCTACACAAATTATTAATGATCTGTCAATTAATGCTCCCAGAAACATTGTTTCTGCATTATTTCCTACTATGAAACTTTCGCAGCGTAATTTATAATGAAAGATATAAGATTCCATATTCGATTAACCACACAGGGTTCGCATTAGTCATCTCCTTGCACAATGGAAACTTTTCCTATTTCCTTATGCAGTTAAATCTAAGTGGAAAGCGAAAAAAACTGTTGTTTTTAGGCAATCTCTTCCCGCCAATAACACGCGCTGGTCATATCGAGTCATCTCTAGGCCCTTGGTCTCACCACCACCCTTATCTAATCAATAGAGTTTAGTAAAGATACAAACCATCCGTATATCTAGTTCCCTTCTAAGCAAGGGAGGAAACATATCAAAAAGATGGCCTTATAAACTTTAACCTTTCCTTATTTTTAATTGTAGGTCACTCTTTCCTGATGCTATAATTAACATAGTAAACGTAAGATAACTCTCGCAAAGGCCGCTTTATTTAAAGAGAAAATCTACCCAAACGACTATTATCTCTGAAACTTTTCCGTATACAGTACGCGTGCATGCCATTGCACTTATTATAATTTGGACCAGAATGCAGAGGAAAATACCCTATAGTCAAACTAATATTATAACCGGCGACGCAGAGAGGTTTATCTGGGCAACTAGCAAAAATGCCAAAGGATCATGTAAATATTTGTTTCTGGTGGTTACGCGACTACCAAAAGGAACTTTAACCTTTAAATGGATACAAACTACGAGCCCTAGTTGAAGTATTAACAAGTTTGCTAATATAATGAAATTATGTAAATATAATCGATGAAAGAAAAATAATTCCGCAGTTTCAGTATATTGTCAATTCACCATCTTGTTGTGCAATTATACCAAAATTCACGCAGATCCTGGAGAGGAGATTTACCCGAAATTGTACAGCATAGGGATCTCGGAATCTTTTAGTGTTGGGGAAAAATGTGTCCATTTCAGAGATTAATTGTTTTGTTTGGATGGCCTTCTGCATATTAACGAAAAATTAAAATCGACTAATTTCTTCAAACGCTCATTATTATTGTTATTATTATACTAGTAAGGGTGCTCCCAGTCGGTTCCTGCACAGTGACCTTTTGGTTTATTGTGCTCCCCGGTATTATCTACCCTTCAAGAATACTTGTATCTTTAACAAGTCCAGGATTTTGATAGGGCGAACCCTCGTTACCTCCTTTTGTCTAATTTTTTAATTTCCAAGTACGTGTTCCCTTGTCTTTGTGTATGGTTCACATTGGTAAATGACGTGGTGTTTCTTCTTCTCGCCCCTGCATAACGGGGGATCCGGGTTCCAATTTGTGTAGGTGTTTGTTCAAATGAGAATAACCTGTGACCATTGCTGTCGCGAGTTTTATCTTCATCCTCCTTAGCTTTACACCTATCGAGTACTCGGTCGAGCCACTTCGACCCCACTTGCTCCCGAACGCTCGCCTGCAGAGACCTTGTAGTTTGTTCGCTATTTTTTCCAGATGTGATTTACCTTCTCTCACTACCTATGGCTTGGTGTCCTACATTGCAATGACTTTTAGCTTTGTCGGCCCTTTTCTACATGAGAAGAGAATGAGGTTTAATTATTTAAAGCTCCCTGCATCACACCTAATACGGTCTCCTCAAATCTGTCACGTACCACAGTCACTATGTCATCGGTATAATAGACAACTGTGACGTAGCCAACCTCATTTAATCTCCTCAGCAGTTCGTCTAGCACCACACACCGCAGCGCGGGGGAGAGAGAACTCTCTCCTGTGGGTAGCCTCGTGTAGCCCGAACCACTACAAAGCGGTTGTATGTTTTAGCATGGTATGCAATCTATGCATTCATCTACACACGTTAGAATTCTAGAGTGGTATATCTATATTTAAAAACGACCCTAGAGCCCCTTCGGCCACATCCACTACTCTGCGGATAGCATTAGTGTTTACTGATGGGTTCAGGCCCCAGCACCTCATCCATTATGTGCCTCTCACTAAGTTTCTTCATTAGCTTTAGGAGAAACTACGTTCGACTGATGAGTCGACTCCAGGGCAAACCTTGCCCTTAGTAACGTAACGTAACGTAACGTTGTTGTAGTAGAGTGGGAAAGATTTCATCCATAGTTGGGAGTTTATACCGATATTATATATATTGTATTTGGTGAGTGTAGTGCGGTATGATCCCCATTTCGCCGTCTTTTTCTCTATAGCTTCCTAGACTGTCCGCAATCGAGAGAGTTACTCGTGCCACCAGAGCACTTTATTTGAGGTTTCATTTGTGGGATAGCATGATGGTCAAGCGAAGGTTTGATTCCTTGATCTCTAGATCCGCCGAGTTACTGACTCCTGCGGGGCAGTTCTCAGATTTCTATAAACGTCAACAGCCGCTTCGCTTGATACAATGTCGAAACGAATATACCTATGGTCAGATAGCGATGGCTCTTCCGACACATGCCGTTTGTGTACTGAGCCTGCACAGCTACAGTTCCAAACGTTATATCAATTACCTTCCTTCGTCTATTATTGACGAAGGTGCCCTTACTGGTTTTGGGAGGTTCTTCGGCAAATCAAAGGTTATCCTAATTCTGCAGGGACTGATTTACGAAAGCGGCAAAAATTGCCCCAGAGCCGCGCTTCTCGTAAAGCCGAAACTAACAACCATTCCCTCTTTTAGAGTTCATTAGGAAAGACCTGGTGGTTGTGGTGGTAGAAGGGCCAATGAGCACCGCCGTTGCTCGAACCACCTCCACTGGGGTCGCACTGACACAAAACATAGAGGCAAGAACCTTTTAGATTTTCTAGTGTGAACCAACATTTGTAACCATCAGGAACAGGAGAGAAATCCTGGATATTACCTTTTTCCCTCCTTTCTCGTATAGGTAGAATCGCACTATGGAGGTTCTCCAATGAGCCAAACCGAATATTCATATACAGATCCTCGTACATACAACAGATTGGGCATTGTACGAAGAGATACTGAAAAACAGGGTGGCGGATCAAATTGATCCTGAACGACTTGGTGACGCTGCCCACTGACGTTCTTCTCTGCTCGGAAAGCTCAAGAAATCCACCAGAAGAGTTTTTAACAAAGCCAAGCGTACTGGGTGTAAAACATACAGAGTGTTACGAAATTCGGGCCCACGATCATAAATCATGATAATAAAACGAAATTGTGGCAGGAATAAAGAGAACAGTTGGTGTTGAGGACAGCATGGCCTGTTTGTGTACTGGTCTGCAATTAGTCCCCTGGTAAAGGCAAGCTGTCAGTGACCGTTTAAAGGACGAATACTCGCGAGACATTCATGTGCGATAAAAATATAACAACCATCCTAGCTGTAACGGAGGAGTCACTTCCTCTAACCACCACCACTGATCAAGGCTTGTCCGAAATCGAGAAGACCATATTTGACCTCTAATGAAGACAATAGTCTAGACCAGTGCTATCGACCCTCCCTCTGAAGGAACATTTGATAACTCCGATGATTCGGGCAACGAAACTTCAGGGGAGACAAAGTGAATTAGACGAAGCCGTTTAGGGCATGCCATTAAAGCCCACCCCACAAATAAAGAGCTTTGTAGAGTGGTTCAAAAAACCAATAGCTGGTGGGCACATCGATCAAGCTAGAATCATGGCTGCAAAGTCAAACAAGACTCAGGAGGGTCAGCATGCTTAAGGGGAGAAAATCAGGAAAAGAGACCGTGCAACTCTGTCCTCAGATGGGAGCACAGAAAATGCCCTAAAAAACCCGCCCCATCTCCTCAACTTTCCAAAGAGGAAGGACGTGGTGGTTCTACAACTCTAAAAAAACTTTCCGGGACGCCTTACAAGCCAAGAAAGTACCGTAAAGGTGAGTACCTTGTAGATCTTGTATTGTCAGAAGAACTAGAGGTACTAAATCAGGATAGTGAGTGAACATTTGTAACCAGAAATAGGAAAGAAGTCTGAGAGATTACTTTATCTTTCCTCCTTTCTGGCAGGTAACATAGTGGGATGGGGGGTTTTCGACGAGCCCTCTCTAGCAGACTACAGACAAATCTGTTTTAGTATAAAGGTAGAGACAAATCGAATATTCATAGACCGTTGTACACCAGTTTGGGCACTGTACGAGGACATATTCAAAAGCATGTAGAACATCTTACTATGAAAGCTCAGAAAATCCGCCAGAAGACAAGCGTACTGGGTGTTGGTATGATTATTGAACGCGCCTCGTCGGGGACAGAAAGGCAAAAAAAAATGTCTTGGGAAAAATTTTGTAAAATTTCCCATAGCCTCTCGCCTACGGAAGATTAACTCGAAAGTGAAAAACAACCCGTGGGAAATGATGGTGGACCAGACGGGGAACGCGCCGGCTCAACCAGAGAGACTTTGCAGCTCTTGGTGCGAATTCTGTTGAGAGGACATCAGAAGACCTTCATCTTGCCGACAAACTTGACTACGGTGTTTGGTTGCGCAATCGGCGGTCACAAGCCTTATAAATCCACCGGAGGAGACGGAGACTTCCCTTCATAGCCTGTGGACCAAGGTCATACATAGGCCTGGTTCCTGGTCACTGCTCCATGAGATATCATATCATAAAATCGGAGTAGCGTAACACATCATCTGCTGGTGTGAGGCTGTCTCCGGACAAAGATCCTAAGCGCTTGGTGAGGTTCTAATAAAATGTAGCACAGCTTTACCTGTGCATTTTAACACATATAACCTTCATAATAATGAAAAAAGTCGATTTTCTTGTTTAATTAGTAAAATATTGGTATTGGATTCGAAAGGGCATTTTTCTATCCTATTTTCTAGTTTAATTCCTAAAATGAACAAAACTCTTCGTTCTGAAGCAGCAAAAAAATTACAATGGATACCAAAATGATAAGAAATGAAACTTTCTACGGAAATCTAGAAACACTTGTGTGTTAAGGTTGGATAAACCGTGTGAACTACGATATACAGGTCAAAAATTTTGACCAATAGAGGGTTAGTGGAAAATTTCAGCTTTCATAAAATCATGCATATGACAATGATAAGTACTCCAGTAACAATAATATAGTAACTTTTTGATTGCGGGTAACAAAAACTTTTGATATGTCATTGGGAAAGAATATTTATGTGTAGGTAATAATAAGGAAATTAGAAATGTAAATATTGTCTTAATATACTAATACAATATAATTTTATTGTCAACAAACATGTGTAGATAAAGATTCGTCACAGAATCGACTGAACGAACTAAAAATCACAAGGTATAAATAGGACAACAATGTTACGTTATTACATACGGAACTGTTTCTAGGTGTTGCCGGTACATTGGAAATGGAAGAATTCATCTAAATTATAAAATGAACCGCCATCCGGGCATCTACATAGAAAATGTAGCATTTCAAATTTTACACGTTTGATATAGGAGAAAACAACCTCATTCCGCATCTACGCAGAAAATTCAGTATATAAAATCTTATTCGTGTTATACACTAGAAAACACCAGCATACCGGCATCTACAAAGGAAAGGCAGTAGCTAAAATCTTACACTTTTTGTATAGGAGAAAATTCCGCATCTACAGTTTTCTCGTATAAAGCGTGTGAGATTTTCTTTGTAGATGTCGGGATGGCGGTGTTTCATCATATTAAAGGCTTGTATGTATAGGCCAACAGAGCCGCAAAATCAGTCTTTCAGTGAGTACGAATATAATATTAGAAATCAACCTGTCTTGACATATGTCATTTTGTTGAAATGTAAGTTATGAAATTTTTTTAAACTTTAATTAAGTTTGGTTGTAACAAGAGATCTAATAAAACGCCAAGAAGTTTACAACTTGGGAGAACAAGATGCAAGCGAACATTCTGTTGCAACAAGTGCAATACGTAACATGAAAACCATATACGTTACATAACAGTTATCAAACGATTACTTATGTATCTTATGTATACATCCATAATGTTATATTACCTCTATGTATGTTTTGATATATCATCCCAAGGCAACACAGTGTTGTTATGTAGCGGGAAATTGTAAGTGGCATTACATGTATGTATCTCACGACATTTGCTAAGTAACCGCGTTATATAACACTTACATAGAGTGCGTTTGCTAGGAAGAAAGCAAATTTGCTGTGTGGTAAAGCACCTGCATGGGTCTACCAATAGAATTACTAGAACACTACTCGAACTCCTTCCACTAACAACAATGTAAACAAAAGTTGGTGGAGGTCTATCCTTTTACCCTAACCACCATCCAAAATTGGTGCATCTGGTATCTAGACTAGCACATTTAGTGGTTGGTAGGAGAGAAGACCGGTTCCCGGATACTCCACAAAATCCTCACACATGGAATGTCGTTCAACATACATAACCCAAAACATGCTTTTTTAAAATCGTTCGGCCTTGCTGGCCGACGTGCAGTTGTTTAGTCGCCTCTTACGACACGCAGTGCCTTCTGCGGTAGAGGTATTCTTATCCGCCTCTACACGGGTAAATATGTGTTTAAACCTAGAATGAACACAAGATATTCCTTCCCGTTGAGTATAATGAAGAAGTGCAGACCAACTCCGTGTAACAAAGTAAAATGCAACTGAAAGGACGAATCAGTCATAAACTCTTGCAATTTGCTTCCGAAAAACGAAAACAAAATCGTTGCTTCTCTTCCATAGTAAAAAGTGTGGTTTAATGTATAACAAAATTACAAATCTGTTTATCTTATTTTATGTTGTTAACGGTCGCCAAGGTTGCTATGGTACAAGGATCTAGACGATAAAAACAACTTCGCTGTGACATAGAGTGTTTTGGTGGGAGATGTTAATCAGCACGTGAATGTTTTGGAATTAGTTGTAGGTCATAAAAATTAGGATAACCTTAGAGAATGCATTATCTCCGAAGTCATCGATTACTTCATTTCCTTAGAACATTTTTATCCTTTTCGTTCATGATTAACATATCCGTAAGTAAATGTTGTTTATTTAAAATAATGCAACTCTTGACGAAGACAAGATATAGAAACTTGCTTTCACCAGTTTAACCGGTTTAACTAAATACGTCTTGGGGAAATTATGTAGCTGGCTACGTGTACTATATCCACCTGCATGTTGGCTTGGGTTTCGTCCGGATGGCAGAGGATATTTTGAACTACTCTCGAGGCTGCTACCGTTGATTAATTTTTTTTTCTCCCAATACGGCTTGGTTCTTTCCTCGTGCGCAGATTTGTATATGGGCCTTTGTTGTTATCCGAATGAGGTTGTTAGTACATTTAGCGCTATTTAGTGCGAGAGACTTCTTTATCGGTCTACTTTGGCATACTAAACCATTTTGTTCAGAGCAAATACTTCAAATCCTGGACATCAGAAGTTACACGCGCTGCTCCTAAAATATCCGACATTACATGCTACAAGAAAATAAACTGTTCTATGGTTAGTTTATTTCTCCACCTCTTATCATAATATATATTTTGTTTATCAGAAGACAAATTATAATAGCATTTAGATGAACTTTTTTTATTTGTGTCTTACAACAAGGATATGGATTCACTTAAATCAGTTAACATATAACATATTATTACAATAAGTAACGTAAAGGCTCAACTTGACACCTCAATATTCCATATATTAACAATATTGCAAGGGACAATGCGTTAACAGATAACATTTTCAAAGCTTTTCTATTTACATAAACAAAAGTATTTATTATCCATTTGTTCAGCATAAAATGATATGCATCAAGTTACCTCAATACTCGTCTCTTAGGTTTGGTAGAGGTAAGGTGCATTCAGGTAAACAATAATTAACATTATAGTTGTATAGGTAGAGGTTTACATTAACGGCGTCTTTATTACAAGAGTAGCATACAGATGGTAAATATCGGAAAGACACGGGTATAAAAATCAAAAAACTGGCTATACTTACGGAATGCTGATATGCCTATAGGTTTGACGGAAAACACCTCAACTACATTTAAACGACATTGTTTAACGTAAACATTGCTAAATAAACCCAAATCTGTCAATGGAGCTCGATTGTGACAATTTTGAGTTTGAAGATGCAACGTTCCCTAAATACGTACAATCAGTAAAAAAAACTCACTAAACCGTTACTTCTTCAGTAAATCGGCTCTTATCATCTAAATTAATCACAATGGCGTGGGTTCTTGCATGACCGGACTTAAGAAGGCGGCCGTTGCGATCGGTGCTATTGGCCTCCGATTGATCGTCGCGGTTCTTCAATTCTATTGGAGAATCTCCAGAAGAAACGCTGTCTGCAGTTACATCCTTCAGAGATTTTGTCGATTCCCTTATTGCACTTCCGCTGGGATTATTATCAATAGTTTCGGAAAAAGATACACTCTGTCTTTTAGTCTTTGCTACAGCGGTATTGTCTTCGGTGGAGTCAGGGGATGATACTGTAGCGCAAACAAATTTATCAGTCACTACACTTAACATACTATTGAGTTTACAATTACTTCGCGCCGAACTTCCGGATTGATCACAGTCAAAGCGTGTGGCAGCTGATTGCATAGCACCAATTTTGGATGCAAGGTGCCGATTACCTACACGAATATTTTTTTCTTTGAGCAATTCCAATTGAGTGTATAATCGTATAAATTCCTCCTGAATGTCCTCATCTGTAATTTTTAAGTGTTCTATTCCGCCCATCGACGAGTTAGTACTAGTGTACTGTGAATTACCTGAACGTGTTTTACCCAAAAACTTTGAGGTTTGGGTTTTTGGCAATGCACCTGAGCCATTTTCATTTTTATCTTGCCCTTTGAACACCATGTATGCCTGAAGCAACAAGACTACAATGAACGTTAACCTCTTGCGCTACATACCTTGCTGCCAAAAATGAGACACAGTAGAAGAGTGACGGTCAGTTGGGTGTGGCAAAAGAAGATTATGTAGAGCAAATCTGGATTTGCCGGTTTCTGCAGGAAAAACCTGAAATTATACAGTTACAGTTATACAGTTCCCGCTTTCGTCTTGTGTTTAAAATATAACTTTGAATTCCAGAAACAAAGCTGGTTTTAAAACACTAGAAAAGGTTTACTGAAAAGTACATGAAACTTTGAAAAGCTCTGGAAGTGGGCTAAAAAAAACTTTAGAAATGAAACTCTTGGTAGAATATCGCCCTTGAAAGAACGAACTCGAAGTGTTCGAAAGGGTTTCTGAAAGGCACAGAAATGAACCGGAAGCACCACGAGGTAAATAGAAAGCGTTCAAAAGGGGTTAAAAATAGGTACGAGAATGGCGAGTTACGCTTAAAAGAGGCGCTTCGGTTCATAGAAGTGGAATGTGGAATGGGATCGAACCCTACCAATAGACACTAGTTTAATTTTGAGTAATAACCCAAGTTGTGACCCCCCCAAACCCCTCGGTGGTGTATGACCTTTATTCAGAATAAAAATCATTATCAATTATAGGTTCTATTGATTTAGCACAACGTTATAGATCTTTATTGTGAATGAGGAGTTAATTTTGAGTAATTACCTGTCACGTATGGAAGCGAGGTAAAGGGTTTGCAGGAAAAATTTAATAGAATTTTTAGAAGAACCAGAGAAGGATTGCAGGATATTTTAACGCAACCCTCAGGAGATTGAAGGGGATAATTAGAGGGTCCTCAAGGTAAAAAAAAGCAGTACCAATAAAATTTTAGATCATGGCATTTGAGAGGAATCTCAGGATACATTGAGAAGAATTTTTATTGTAAGATATTTTAAAAGAAACCTCGGAACAATTTGCAAGCGGTTTATTAAGGGAAGTCTTATATTAATTTGGACCATGTTCAGCCTTTTAGGGAGACTTCTATAGATTTTGCACAATTTCTAAAAGAACCTCAGGAGTAAAAATTTCAGAAAACATATCAAAGAAAATTTTAATTACAGGGAATAAATTGGGGAGCTGAAAAGAAATTTTGGGAGATTTGCAGAAAACTTTTCAGGCAATTTTCACGCAATTTCAATTAGATCAATGCAATTACAAGAGTCATTCAACTAGGATTAAAAAAATATTTTAAGAACGCCAGAATATTTCAAGAAAAGACATTAGCTAATTCTAGGAGAACTTCCAACATGTTTTGCAATACTGCCTCATACATATATATTTTAGGAGCAACGTTAGGAGCATTCCAGAGGAATTTTGGGAAAATGTAGGGGGGGGGGGTAAGTAAGTAACATTGCAAATTGCAAAAGGGTAAATTTCGAGCCAAATTTTAAGACAATTTCCGAAATAATGCAAATTTTCAAGAAGATTTCAGAAAATTTGTGTCAGGAATTTTCGAAAATGTTTAAGTCAATTTCAAAAAAATTGAAGACAATTCAATGGAGATTCAAAAATCCATTTACAAAAAACCATAAACCAAAAGTGCGCAGTGTACATGATTTCTGTTTCATAGTAATCACCACAGGATCTGTAGGATCGGTAGTCGCCGATAGACCGCATCAAGTAGGGAACCCGAAGTGGAATGGAATCAGAGGAAACACGTTCCCTCTATTTTACGAGGTATCACCAAAAGTGAAAAGTTTCCTTCTTCTGAAAGCTCCAAAAAGCTGCAAATTAGTTTCAAAATAAGTTCATCAAGAGGCAAGGAAGGGAGAGATAATAGTTTATTTTTGAGTAATTACCCATCAAGTATGGGAGCGAGGTAAGGCGGCGAAGCCGCCGAAACCGAACTTATAGACCATGACCAAGCGGATGGACTAATTCGTATCAATGTAGATAAGGCATTTTTACACGATGGGCTGAAACGCTTCATCTGAAGCCTATATGGTCTATCTGGAATTAGATTGACTTTTGCAATTGATAAAGTGAAATGCCAGCAGTTAAATTCAATTTGAGCAAGAAAGTTGAACTGCTCCCAATGCAGTTGATAAAACCCTCTTCTTTTCGCTGGGGAGCATTCCATACGTTACAGGAGTTTCGAGAAATCGGTCTTAAATGTGACTCGTTAAAGGTGATGTATTCAGGGTAGTGGGAGCCCCAGGGACTAGCCACCCCTGCACACTAGATTGGTGTCGGACTCCGTGGAGTTGCAAATCGCTGATTTTTAGAATCAAAAATTATATTTGTGCTATTATTTCCTTAATCCATAGGTGTTCAACCTGCACGAGAAAACCAGATTAGATATGTGGGTGTAGTTACCCACAGTTAACCCATCCCCCCCTCCCTCCCCCGGTGGTGTATATTTTTTAGAATTAAAATCTGTTAAGTTTACAATTTAATTACGGGTTCTATTGAATTAGCATATCCTTGCAGAATTTTATTGTGAATAAGGGCCTCCCATCCAACAGAGAGTAGTTAATTTTGAGTAAGAATCTATTACGTATGGAAACAACACATGAAACATTTTATGGAGGTTGTAAAACTTACTAAAAATACGTTTTTAGAGAATTTTTAAAAGAAGTTATAACGCAACGTTCAGGAGATCCCAGGAAACTCAAGGGGTCTTCAACATAAAAAAAACAGTGCTAGGAAAGTTGTAGGAGCACATCAAGACAATTGAAAGGAATCTCACGATACTTTGAGGAGGATTTTAATTCTAAGATACATATTTTAAGAGAGCCTCGGAAGAAGTTCAAAGTTGCAAGGATTTCCAGGAAAGACTAGGGAGATTCTAGGGATCTTTTAGGATGATCTCAAAGTAATTTTACGAGATTTTCATTGGAATTCCATTAGAATTTCAAGCGAACCTTTGCATGAATTTGGAATACGTTCAGCTTTTCGAGGCAAATTTCTATAGATTTTAGGAGTAAAAATTTCGGTTTTCAAATAAATGGAAACGTTTAGAAGAATTTCACAAGAGTCGCATGGGAATTTTAGAGTACCAGAACAATATTTTGGAGACATATCAAAGAGAAAAAGCATTATGCGGGTCACTCTGTAATTGGGCGCAAGCCTGTTGAGGGCCCAGAACAAGAGAGGAATAATAAATAAATAAATTTAAAAAAAGAATTTCAATTATGTACAGAGAAATTCTAGGATATCTTCAAAGGAATAATTGGAGGAATTTAACAGAAAGGGGGAAATTGGCAGAAAGTTTTTCAGGGAATGTCAAGAGAATTTGAATTTTAAGAACTTCAGAATATGAGCATCCCAGTGGAATTTCAGGGGGATTCTTAAAAAACCACAGAACACCACTAGGGAAATTTTAGGATAATATAATAAAATGTGAGTATATTTTCAAGAAACGTGAAAGGGGATGTAAAGAGGTAATGAGGATGGTCTGTGAAATGGTGTTTAATGAATGGTGAAGAATACATTAAGTAGGTTTGATGCGCGCAAAATAAAGGTTTAAAGCGAGCATTAAGTGTGGGGAAGGGTAGAAGAAAGGGTTGAAGAAGCGAGACAAAGGCGCAAATTGGATTATGGGTCTTGTAGATCGCATCAATGAAAATGTGGGGAAATGCAGAATTTAAATTCGCAATGTAACGTGGTACTGAGCACTCTGTTCCTGGACGATATTTTAGTCAACAATATTTCAGCCCTCTATCGCAAATACTGCGCAAATATATTTAAAAAGTGTTGTGCGCTTCCAAAAAGTGCTGGTAGAACAACATCTTCGAATATAAGAAAAAGCAGACAAGAGATCAGATTTGATAGGATAGGCCGGTCACCTTAACTCAAAAATCTCCAAAGCGCATCAAAAACTACCCATTCGATTTGAAAAGGAAAAAAGTTCATTTTTATATATTGTGCACTGTGCAGGAATAAAATAATTAATCGATAGTAAAGAAATAATGCCTAATTTTCAACTGAAAAGTTAATCCAAAACCAAAATCATACATATTAAGTGAGTAACTACTACTTACATTGAGATGTTCAGAAAAACGGACAATAAAAATTCGTTGTAAATAGCCATTGAGATAAATCGACTTTCGTTGAATTCTGATGGAGCTTTGCGAACTACGATGCACAGGCGTATTCCCCACATCAGGAATACGACTTCCACTAAAAGAAAAGAAACAAATCGTAATAAATATGCTTTACTATTTCTAAAAACTATCCACTAACACGATCGCTACAGCAGATTGTGAAGCTTTAGGGATTTTGCGCTTTGTCATTTCATGACATTTGAAATAGTGGGAAATATGTCCCAACCATAGTAACTTATGTGGGTACAAAGAAATTCTGCACTGCTACAATAGCCGTTGCTTTAAAATCGCTTTTGTACATCAAGGTAGATTTATATGAGGTTTAAATGGTTCCAGTAGAACGTTTAAAGTGCTCGAGCATGAGATTGGTTTTGAAAACACAAAGTATAGGGTTTAATTACTGCAAGTTAATTAAAGAAGGTATGTTTTCAGATGTATAAATTAGTAGATGTTGCTTTGATGTTGTCACTCGTAATTCCTGTCACGTGACTTTAAAATTCTCGTTAGTCTGTCGCAAACTTCAACCAACTATTTTCATAAATTTTCAATTACCTACTGTAAACAGCCGCTGGTTTATACGTAAGATGATGATTAACATGATTTAAGTGTTAGGCGCAAGTGAAATTTTAAAGGATGCTAGGAAAACGAAGCAGGACATTTCAATTTACTTTGTACATTATTTGGTGCCTCCGCTTTCAATTGCAGCAATTTCCACCTACTTCGCACCTGGATCTAGAACGATGCAGGAATAAGTGCCCGCAGCAGTATTCTTGTTCATTTCGACTGTTTTCGGATCTCTCGATTTACCCTTCGTTTAAAAGGGCTTTTAACATTACGTTTTCACTGTTCCATTTTTATCTTGGCCTATTCTATTACATCATAGACTATTCTTTTCGATTCTTTAGAAACCCACATAAAATCAAATAAAAGAAATATTGCGGTCTAATCTTCTTTCAAAGCTGCCATAAAGGAACGGACCACGGCGATAGAAAAAAATTCTAATTTGGATCCGGAATCTTCCACAGACGCCCCTTGTAGAAAAAATATATCCGACCCACATACCTACACATATTCCTGGTGACAGTGACGATGAAGGGAATAAAACCGGCACACATACTAACCCTATAGAACTGCTAGCAGCACAATGTATTTCAGAACAGAATGTCACAATGTAAGAACCCTACCTCATTAGGATTTAAAATTCATTTGCATCCTGAAATAAAGACCAAAATTGTAAAAAGGAATTACTAGGAGATTTCAATATGATCAATAACAAATTAGAAACACCATATCAAACCCTAGACGAATACCAAAATGAAATTCTACTCCATTACTTCACTAACGGTGCCAGAACAGTCGGTAGCTGAAAAAATGGAACTCACTAATCTCAAACATTATTAAAAACAATAGCAAGGAGAAATGTTCCCTTCTGCTACCTTAAATCTTCCTCCCAGACCAGAATTGAGGCTCACATGAATAATCAATATATAATTTTGATAAAAATTCAAAAATTCCCGTCGTAGAAAATAATAAAAAAGGAAACAGTTTTGATCCGGTGAAAGCAGTTGAAGGCAAAATCCGAGATGGTGATATTAAGGATCCTTCCGCCTTCTCACCTCTGAAAACGCCCCTGTCCTCTACTACAAGCTTCAGATAACTCTTCATCCTCCACAACATCCCGATGGCAAAACACTGCCAAATACTTGAAATCTTCCAAAATCCAGTCAAAATAACAGCAGAAGAAACTTTCTATCATCTTTCCCAAACGGGTCATCTGGTGGAATGGATGGATTACGACCCCAGGACCTATGCCAAAAAGTGAACGGAGCCATTCGGTTTAAACTTAAGGAATTTGAGTGACATCATCCTTTCCGGTCAAATTCCTAAAGAAATCGTGCGCAGCTCGTATACTCGTTTTTAATAAAAAAAAATGCGGAGGAATCGGACCAATTACCATTGGACTAACCCTTCGAGAACTCATTGCTAGAGTTTGTTGTATTCGTGTGAAAGTAGATGTTGGAAAGTAATGAAACTTCCTATTTCAGTGCTACTCAAGACCATCTTCCTTATGCTTCGGAAAATACACCCTCTCATCCGCTGAAGGTGCCCATCAAGGAGACCCTTTGTGTCCTTGAATCTTCCATCCATCCTCTCCGTACCACTCTATATGCGGAATTTATTGTGATTTACTTAGATGACGTGACTATTGATGGATCAACATCAATGGTATTAGAAGATATATTAACAATTCAGAAATCTGCTAATACTCTTGAATTGGATCTGAATTTCTCTAATTGTGAAATACACAATCTAGGCAAAATTTCTAAATTAGATAAAAGAAAATTCGATTTCTTCTCAGGAGAATTTGTCATCACTGGAAATGATGATTTAGAACTTCTTGGTACTGATATCCTTCCTGAAGGAATCCCAAAAATACTTTTAAATAAGAAAAACAAGCTAAAACTGCTGAGAGAGAGACTGGAACTACTGGACTCCCACCCCGCATTTTTAGCGCATTTTTGAAAAAAATACGCTATTATATTCGTTATTGCTGGCAGGCCGGCTGTCCGCGTGAGTTCTCCGCAACTACAATAGCTAGAGAATTCAAATTTTCACAAAAAGCTTTCTGCTATAGTGTAGATGTGCAGGCACTAGTCTATTTTGAGTTAGATTACTTATGAGATCGATAATTGAAGAAAATAATTTCGATATGGGTTTCGGAGGTGCTACCAGTATAAAAACTTATTATTTACTTTGTGATTTGTTTTACAAAATGAAGACGTACCCTCAATTGAAATTAAATAAAATTAATTATTTAACGCAGCCAAAATTACTCGTGAGATCGATAATTTTAAACTTCGCTAATAAAATACTGACCTGCATTACCAAAAATGCGCTTTAATCATGCATATGTTGATTTACAACTTGTTTTTATTAAAAACGCTCTCGGAATCCCGAATGTAATGGACACAACTACAGACTTGTCTTAATCTCAAGATCGGAGCAAAATTTATCATCCTCGTATATGCGGAAAATAAATCGTCCTCGAGGTCTAAGATGCTCCCTTCAAGGTCTTATCCCTCGTCATATCACACTCAACGATGTAAGAGTTTTCATTTCTGCTGGAACCCATTCTACTCTCAAACCCCACGGCATCTTTAGAGATGATGGAAAACGACCAGATGGATTGATCCCATGGACACACGGAAAGCAACTTGTATGGGATATTACATGTGTGGATACCCTATGCGCATCCCATCTTCCTCCAAAACTGCCGGAGGAGCTGCCAACAAAGCAGAAAAAGTTAAATCACAGTAATTCGATTTCCCCTTGCAATTGCCTTGATTTTTCATGTGTTTTATAAAGATCTACCATCGACTTATAATTTCATTCTTTTCTTTCACTATTTTTCCATTCCTGTTGTGACGTTATTTTCTTTACCGTGTAATCTTTGCTTTGGCTTATATTTGAATTACTATGTGGAATCCTTCTCGAATAACATTATGCGAACTCTTACCTTTATATAGCAATCCTTATGCCATCTAGGTGTTCACATTATAACCCGATCCTTTATTTGCGATATAGTTTTCTTTTAAAAAGCTTTTGTCTAGTGTTCTGTTGATTGGCGCGATTATTCTTCTCCCACTCACTGTCGACGCGCGCAGTCCTTGTTGAAGAACTCGATTCGATCTTGACTTGTATTTGAACTACACGCCCATTACACTTACTTGACATATTCGTCTACCTTTATTGGGATTTAATTAGTGGTGTTGTATTAAAATTAGTGAAGTTTTCTCTTATCATCTTACTTCCAATTTCGCTGATGACGCATTGCTGCGGATTTATCTTACAAGTTTAAGGCCGTTTTGCGGCTACTTTCGTACTCCCTAAGTTTTCTTACTTATTATTTTGGTTTTACCAATTGCTTCCTGACTGTACATTGATATTTTGACGTGGAAACGCGAATACCCGATTTTCCATATGGTGCAATAGAATTCCATTGAAGTTTCGACGCCATTACAATCAAAAACGCTCTACATATTTCTACCTTACCGACTGAAGAATTGACTGAAGAATCACCTCCATTTCATGTGAAACCGATATTTGAACTGCTGACCCAATTTTACGAAGTTCGTTGACCTACGATTCATTCCTCCGAAACGCAAGTACTTAATTAACGAGACGTGTGGAGTTGGTACTGTGTAAATTTTTTAATTAACGTTATGTATTTTACTTTGAAGAACTTGCTCGTGTAATTTCTTTTGAATTGATAAGATTGCTTTGTCATTGAAGATAGATTCAGTTATTTTATTTGTACATTTTTATCGTATTTTTCTCTTAAAATTTCATGTCATTTTTTTGATATCTCATACCGATTGTGAAAACCAACCCTTAGTCGAACCAAATTTTGTTTTGTTGTAAAGTCATTCGAATTTTTGATTCTTTTTAGTATTGATTGCAATTCTACGTACAAGAATAACCATTCGTGTCTTACGTTAACCATTGCTTATGCGATATATTGTGCAACGCGAATCACTACCCTTCATATATTTTTTTGTTTTTGTGTCTGACTGTTTTCAGATTTGCAGTTTCGCGTCCTCTGAGCTCGGAAGGTTGCGACCGGAGTTCAAGGTAAATTTAGTTATTTTCGTCGTTTTTCCCTTTTAACGTTTGATTACATTTTGGTTGTTGATACTAACGAGTTGTGATTATTACTTTGTTTGAAAGTCACTTAATGATTATAGCTCCGTTGTTTCTGCGGAAGCCTTTTGGATAAATATTTCCCCAGGCTACGAGTTGGCTTCTCATTTGTTTTATTAGAGATTATTTTAAATTCCCAGTTTGATATACTAGATCGATATATTACAGTGTCAGATTTGTGATATTTTGAGATCTTTGTTATTAAACTACCCGCATTTATACATCAAATACTGTTTGTTTTCCCCATAATTGTGTATTCCTTTGAGTTTAGTAAGGCGAGAACAAGGATCTCTTGGTCTGCATTGTTCATCCCTTTAGTATTCCTCTCTCTCTCTAAATTCATCAAAGACTAAGTGGCGCCTATCCGGATTACTTTTACTGTTTCCTTCCCTTTTTGGCTTATTTGTGTGTGTATAGAAGAACCCCATTTTCACCCCGACCCACCTCTACTTTGCCTGAGCTTACCGTGTGCTTATCTAAGGTAATTTCGTCACGTTGGCCCAAAGTGAACGTAACACTGTCTTCCACCTCAACAGACAGCTCTTGATGATCTGTTCCAAGTAACCTCTTTAATCCTGTCGTAAGTAATACCGCGCCTTCCTATCGTATCAAGCTTTTCTATTTCATTACATTGATTTTCCACCCACCTTTCCCTAGCTTCATTAGTTACTTTTCTCATCTCCGTATTTATTCTCCGATATTGTCTTCCTCCTCCTTGTTGATTTTGTACCTTCTTCCATCTTGGCTATCATTTCCTGATTGATCCAAGGCTTCTTTGATCTTATTCCTCTCTTATATCCCACTTTCTCTTCAGCTGCTTTGATTATTCTCGGCTTGATTCTATTACTTACACTGTACATTACGACTTTAAATTCATTTTTTCTTCATCCATTAATGTCCCCACTTCGCTCTGTCCAAAAACATTTGTCTAAGTCCCTTATCTTTCGTTCCGTGCTCTTTTCACGATTTTAAGTATAATTCTGTCTGCCATAAGTAGAATATGCTTTAGCCCTATGACTTACCACAGCCATAGATTACTTTGGTTACACACATGGGAAGTTCCTTGCTGACAATAAATCCTACTCCGTTTTTCCCTCTTTTTTACCACTCTAAAAGAACTTTGCGTCATCACAATTTTCCTGTCCTTATCCCTTCCATCTTGTTTCACTTGGCCGTTTGCATCGACAAATTTAAGCGGAGCTTAGCTTAAGAGTAACTTAAATTCCATGGCAACGATAGGTTTTTTAACGATAAAACTCGTATTTTTTTCCCCGTTTTAAGAACACTTTCACACTGGTAAAGCATAGTGGTCCACGTTCATTGCGTTTATATTTGGAGTAGTAAAATGTTGTGTATACGAAGTGTTCATAGATTTTTACATTAAACGGCAACCGGTAAACAAGTTTAACGACAATTAATTCGTGCTTTTCCTAACTACCAAACTTAGTTAGTTAATTATTTTTTTGAGATTTCCCTATTGCGGAACATTGGTCACAATAAACCAAAGTTTAACTATGAAACCTCCTTTTCTTGCTTCCATTCATTTTTACGTCGAATCTTGTGGGTACAATTCTCTTCGTCTTTTACAGACTTTCAGATCCAGTACAAAATGGAAGCTTTAGATGTTTCCAGATAAATCAGCTTTCTAATTGAGATATATAACTTATGACCGATAAACACCAACAACTTTTGTCTCATCTTGGATTACCACACAGAGCCATTTTACTTCCAAATCTGAAGATGAATCTAGTGCACGGATAGATGCTCTACCTTCTGCAAATTTAGGAACATGTTTTACAAATCGCCGTGTATTTAAAAATTGGTTCAGAACCTCTCATGTTCCAAAAGTTATAGCAGATTTTTTCAACATAAATGATATATTGAAACGTATTTTTGTATTAAAGAGATTTATTTCGGCAGTTCGAGAGGATCTTTTGATCGCAGTCGTACTAGTGACAATCAGTGTCCGCCATCAAAAATATATTAAGACGATCTTAAGAAGTAATAGTTGTTCCACTAATTATCTACCTCATTATCAGGTAACGAAGAGCAGGTTCTTGTCCACTGACTTTGTTCTTTCAAAAGATTGTTTACAAAATTAGTCTTTGATCTTTATAAATCATCCCCAATGAATTGTAAACGGAACCGGAAAGGTTGCTATAGGGACAGTTACGTATTGACGGTGTATTAACACTTGCAAAAAGAAATAATCTACATAATAATAGGAAACCGTGTCGTTTAGAAGCTTTGTACAGTTTCTTCTTGAAAGAAAATGTCTACCTGCTTACAAATTTTATTAAACTGTTATTTCCGTACACCTATAACGACGGCTGTTCGCGTGCTAAAAGCTCTGTTTGTTCAAATCGTAAAAAATGCAATAAACGTCAATAAGGAATGAAACCGTTTTCATACATACCAGCAATTTGTATTGCGAGCATGCTTTATTGAATGCCATAAGCATGCGTGGACATTTACGTTTTACTTTGAACTATATTTACAATTTGTGCATACCTATGTAAAGTGAAAATGTCGACGCTAACATTAAATTTAATCTCCAATAAAATATTGAAAAGTTGCAAAGCGACACTTACTTGTAGTAAAGGAGTGATCCCACCAATCTGTACGGCACAAATATGCTTTCAAATCATCTGCTGTTCTCCCGACAATAACAACGGGCGGTGCAACAAGAGTACGAATTATTAGGAACATGCTGAAGATTGACACGATGATCCCTAGACGTTTCAAAAGATTCACATCGGTGATCTTGACTGCTTTTGCTGAACGTACGCGAAAGATAACAGATATCCTGAAAAAATATGCACCTTTAGACAAGAAAAACCATATAAACCTCAGTTATTTTAACAATTCATTGTGATTGCTTTGTGAAGAATGCTAAGAAGCGTTAAGTGTAAGAGCAGCTAAGAAGAATTACTTCGAAGCTGAACTTCGCCTCAAATTTTCTACTAATTTAATGTATTTTTTTTTTCTGAGTGAGACAATAAAGTTAAAGTTAGTTTGTAATTTCCCAAACAAAGCTTTGCCGTGCAAATTTTCGTTAAAGTTTGGTCTAATACTGAGCAAGCTACGTACAATTATTAAATAAGATCAGTGATTGATTGTCTTTATTGGCATGACGGATATAACTAGGTAACTCAATGTTCTGTTAACGATCCTAGTGGTATTCCTAGTCCGTCGCAAAATAGTTATTGTTAAATGAAATGGAATTAAGACTCACCGCCAAGTTTTAAGCATAAGCGCTCCATATGTAAGAGAAAATCCTATTTCCCGAAGCCATACTCTTGCAGTGCATGTATAGACGCTTGGCTGGGGATACATGACAATCGTCTAAAAGGGAACAAACACGAAAACTGTAAATCCTGCGTTCAAAACATAGTATATAATTAATGCTACATCGTTCTAAGAAGATACTTTTCTAATGGAAGTTGTTGTTCGTAAATACTTAGTCTTAAAACGCAAAAGGAAAGATGGTTGTTGTTTGTATAGGCGTAAAAGGAGGAGAGTATTGCTTAGATTAACTACAGTTACGTAGTATATTCAAGCAACCCTAAAGTTTTGTTGACTGACTCACATGTAGAGTAAATGACTTCTGAAAAGCGTAAGTAGTGCACCCTATTAGTATTCAGAGCTTAATACAAAAGAATGAACTAAACTACACTTTCGAATTGTTACACATTAAGCGACCTACCGTGCAATAAATAAAAAATGCTCCTAATGTTATGACTCTCAAGAGAACTGGGCTCGCTGCACGCACCACCTGAAACAAAAAATAGATCAGAAATTGTTACGTCGAAATTTGGGCAATCAACGTGATGCTTTCAGGGTAGGGTCCTGTTTACAACATGAATGAACACATACACGTAAGAGGTTAATTTAAAGGTCATTTAATTATCTATTAAAGAGGATTGCTATAAGGTTACTTTCTCAAAAAAGCGTTCAAAGGTAAAATGGGTAAGCGGTTTAAAAGAACGGGGATAAGTAGTCGAAATAAATACATGTTTTATTTTGGAAACATTCATTATTCATTCGGAAGATCGATTTTTCCGAAAACGGATTGAATAAAATAAAAACAGGTTTAGTACAACAAGTTCTGACCAACGTCTCACAACCCACGTATAGATATCTCGGTGCCGAAGGGTTTCATAAGATTTATTAGAGGTTCTGCCTCATTATTTCACATCTTATCTGTGCCTAGGAATCCGAAGCAAGTAATACATTCCCGATCCAGGCACCCGTTGCATTAAAAAAATGAACAATCATTCTCACCTTTGAGCACTGAATTTTGAATGTTCTTTCAAGTACGTATGACAAAATTGCCCTCCCGGTCTAAATGCGCATGCCTGGTATCGCTCCCATCACTAACTGTAAAGGTTTGGGGTCATGGATAATGAGGAGCTGATCTCCTTCCCTCACATACACTTCCCAGAACATGATAAATTCTACCCATTAGAAGTATCTACTTGCAAAACGAGATTGTTGACTATCCCAAAGAAACTGTCGACTTTTCCATTTGTACGTTTTACGAATGCGTGATAGGCAATCTTGCAAGTGTAAGTTCTTAATCATCAATCACGTGATCGGTTTTTTTCCGGGAAAATCCCAAGACACGAACTTACACCACAAAACCAGGTCAACAACCGGGAAATCCCATTGGCTAAGATCACAAATTTTTTGCCGGAGAAATCCCACACCAATGTCAATATAGTGAATACTGTAGGTAAAAAATAAGGATTTTCAACAACTACTAGGAAAACGTTAGTGCTTTTTATTTTTCTTCTTCCTTTTTGTTAAGATTCCACCATTAACAATGGAATGAGACATTTTATTGAGTTAAATTTTTTGCGATTTTTCCCGTCGAGATACGCGAAAGTTGTAAAAGAGTCAGTTCCTGAAAACACTCCCCCAAACAAACACTTTTCATGGTAGTTTCAAGTTTGTTGATTCTAACAAGAGTTCGCCATCTTCCTACATTTATCAATGGGTTAATTGTTTCAAATCATTGTCTGGATATGGTTTTGAGTTGCACGTTTGAGTCTTCTGTTACTTGTGTGTGAAAAGTGTCGAGTTTGCACAAACCTGAATGTCAAATACAGCCCCAAAAACCATTTGAACCAATGGAAATTAATTAGAGACCGCCGCTTTAACCATTGTTTGGCATTAAAAAATTAGTGAGTAATTCAGACAAGGGATTATTTAGCACTAAATTGATTCATTCGCGTTTGGGTAACGGATTTGGAGAAGGTTAGAAAAAGATTAGCGTGTTATTCGTCGACTTGGTCTGAAGACAGTCCAGATTGTTAGCGGCCTTGTGGTCGAGCTAGAAAGAAATTTTAAAACATTCGCATTTGTCGATTCAACCTGATAAAAAAAGTACGATTCATATAAGATTAGGGAACGCCTATAGTAATCTTCACATTCCACTCCGAAAATTGTTGGCGGACGATTTTCATACCGGCCGGTCTTTAGAAACCATCTGATATCAACCCCAAATTGACTCGTAGAAAATTAGCAGTAAGAATCTATCGAACCCATGATGAAAGAGAAGAATTCTAAACTAAGGTTAGTCGTATTTTTCCATTTCGCCCGCTTTATTGGATGCAAAGTTTTGGCATAAATACATGCGCAATACAAAGAAGAAATTGCTTATGCCTTTACAATTGAATTTATCTAATTGCAATAACCTTTTTCTCGTTTTGAATGACTTTGGCCAAATCCAAGACCTTGGGTCAAAATCCCAGGTCACACCATAGTAACGTAACCGGAGAAATCCGAAAGTCGCCCTGAAACGGTAAGGCTAATGGAAAATGGACGGAACGCGAAAACCAACGAAGTGAGTGGTGCTAGTGAATAGGCCAACTGATTGGTGGTTAAGGTATACCGTAAACATCAATCCCCAATCATGAAATTGAAGCTCATCAGAAATGCTTCGTTTATTTTGCACAAGTTTTCTCCTTTTGTCATTTGCAATATACGGCTATCCGTTACTACCTACAGTATAATTGACGGTAATTTTCGTAATTATAGTTGGCATTTTAGTGTCGATTACAATATACGATTTAATTACGACGATTACTATTAAGAATGAGTTGAACGATCTTCCTAAAAGGAGATTTGTAACTATAGGCCTGCTAGCCTACTATTAACTCACCAAAAAAATTCGAAATTATACATACAAGTCTCAACACGGCTTCATTAAAAAAATGTCAGCAAACACTGGGCTCCCTCAGAGATCCAATTCTAGATCCCACTTGCTTTATTCAAACGAACTCATTTATGCATATTAGGCAACAGTGATAACGGTACTATTCTTATGACTTCGTATGCAGACGACCCAAATATTGTCTTCAAATCCGACACGATTACGGCATTTCGATTGAAATGCATAGAATCTTAACTACTCCCCGTAAATGATGCCATTGTAATATTTAGTAAAAACGATATTTGATAAATGTGGCAAGTTCAATGGTCAAGTGTGGGCAATTCAGCATAGATGTGTGCAGGGGTCTAAGGCAGTTACTCTTTGGCCACAATCGTAAGAAATGCTCTGGAATGTGAGTGTCCCCCACGTGTTGGTGGCGAGTGAATTGTGCAGGCCATCGTTGGGTTATTGTTATGTAAAGCCCCTGGCAGATATCCGGATACATTCGTAGGGTCCAAGAGTGCATGAGTCTATGACGTGGTCCCGGGTAACTCCCGATGATTGTACCCCTGAGTGACCTATTCGCTCAAGTAGGTCATGATGTCGACCTAATAATACGAAAAATCTAAGGCCTCAACGCTAACAAAAACGGTTAGGGGACGAATTTGACTTACAGGTGTGTTCGCAGGGAGTATAATGAGAGGCAGATGGTTGTTGATGTATTGGCCGAGGGTCCTAGTTAAAGATCCGAGGCTGGATGTATATCCTAAATAACACATGGGCGCGGCGTAGTCCCTAACCCTTCAGGAGGTAATCTGCACCGACGCATTCAACCCCAATCGCCAATCGAAGTGTTGAGAGGGAGGTCCAGCTCGGGGAGGGAGGCCTCCCGGTGAGTTACCTAATTAATTGGTGGTCAATGACTTCCAGTCAGACCGAATACAGCCATACCACCCCTTATTGTCGTACAAGTAACCTAACAACAAATGTGTTAAACCAGTATTGTCACTTGCTGATGAACTCCGCGACGCTGCAGAAAACTCCAAGGTAGCTATGGAACTTGTTGAAACTCCTCAAAGTTTGAAATATCGCCCTTCTGTGACTTCTTCAAAGCGTAAACGCCAAGTGTTAATTTTATCAGATAGCCAGGGCAGAAATACCGCGTTAAAATTTCGCGACTCATTGCCACCTAACAAGTTTTCAATTTTATGTGTTTTTAAACCGAATGCAAGATTTGAAGATGTAGTTTTTAACTCGCAGGGTCTATTTACCGATTACGACAAAAATGACTTCGTGATACTGTTTGCCGGTTCAAACAACGCCGCCAAGCATACTCTGATCAGTAAGTCTGTTATTGAGAACGCATTTACTTCTTTGTCAAACACAAACTGTATCTGTGTTAATGTCCCATACGATAAAGACAATTATTCTTTCAATTATTACGCACACCGGATTAATTACCAACTGCACTCATACAGTAACAATTTTGAACACGTTAGTTACATAGATGTGAATGCTATCCTAGGTTCGCGCAGGATTTTTCACAAAGGTATTCATCTAAGCAATAAATGTAAATCATTTATAATTCACTACATTACTAAATATTTTATATCTTATATTATTGACTCTACGCCTATAGGACATAATTCTAACTTAATTGTACTAACCTCTAATGACGAAAATGTTCCTTTTTTAGGAAAAAACATAAAGTCAACATTGATCAAATGAATGTCGCTCATACAAGTTTCTCGCACTACGGTTTAATTCCTAACAGTCCAGTTGGTCATAATGTCCTCTTCCATATTAACATTCAATCTCTACGGAACAAAATTGATCAACTTTCACTTTTTTTAATCGACTCTAATATTCAATTCCTATGCTTAACTGAACATTGGTTGAACGTTGATAATATAGGAACTGTTAATTTACCTGGTTTTTTATTATCAGCAAAATTTTGCAGATCTTCACGTTCGCATGGTGGAGTTTGTATTTACAGAAAAGACACAATTGAATGTGAATCAATTTGTTTAGATCAGTTCTGTTCTGAAATTAATGCAGAATTCTGTGGGGTATTGCTTCCTAGTAGTATGCTTGCTATTATTACTTTATACAGATCACCTAATGGCGTACCAAGTGTATTCTTAGAGCATTTAGAGGAAGTATTAGCTTTTTGTTACACCAAGGCAAAGTCGATTATTGTAACAGGCGATTTTAATATAAATTTTATGGTAAAATCAGATTTTGTAGCGAATCTTAAGTCCGTGGCTTATTCTTTTGGCATGGAAATTTTAATTGACGATTATACTAGAGTTACCGCAAGTTCAGCTACATGTCTTGATAATATTTTTGTGAATTTACCGAAACACTCATATCGATCAGGTGTGATCGATCCATGTTTATCAGATCACAAAGGCCAGTACTTAATATTTAAAACGCAAAACTCAATTAATAAAATCCTCCGCACGGTCAGATTATACCCATCTTACAGCATTGAAAATTTCAAACGCGATTTGTCTAAGGTTGATTGGCACATTCGTGAGAATAGTCAAAAAGATTCTAATTTTTTAGCAAATTATTTAGTAACCACATTCCAGTCTTTAATTCATGTGCATTTTCCC